GGAAGAGGAGGGAAAGGGACCAATAAAGCGAGGCATTTCGGGCCACGCCACTCCACCTCTCCTAGCCAGCTGTCCCAGTTATTGCAAACAGGCAAACCGGTTCAGACAGAGTAAGAAATGACACAAGACTTGGACCAAACCTTACGGCAAATCTGGTTGATTTTTTTTGTGTGTGTGTTTCCTCCTTTCCATATGGCTTTCCATATCCTGTTTTTGGCTGCAAACAGATGCAGCCTACCAAATTATCAAGAGAAAGGCTGCATTGAGCTTAGCTGGAACTGAGCAGCTACACTGAAACAAGCTTCCTCCCCTGCCATAAAAGCTGCAGATGTGAGGGAGAAGATCCTTGCTTTGCCAGGCTCTGCAAAACAGTGAGATTTGTCAGTTCTTTGAATAGCCCATTAAGAAACACCTCTGGGAAAGCTGGATTATAGACCACCCATGCGTTGCAGCGGAGGCAGCTTGCAAGGCCAAGCCTCAGATACACATGTCCACGCCGTGAAAGGCACCGCTGTCAAACACACATATCCACTAACCCGCACTGCTGTGGATAACTATCTCCAAGAGCAAACGGAGGGCAGAGCAGGTCCATAGAATCATAGAATGCTTAAGGTTGGAAGGGACCTCTAGAGGTCATCTAGTCCAACCCTCACGGATGGGTTTGCAGTGGGTCCAGGGCTGTGGTTAGCCAGGCTGGGAGGACCCTTGGGACCAAGTGTAGCATGACCCTGTGACCAGCAATCAACACTTTAATATGAGAATCCTGCAAAATTAAATGCAAACACAAACTCATTGATCAGTGGCACATTGAGATTAGCGGGTTGGCCTTAAAAGAGCTCACCAAGTGGAGGACAAAACCCAAGTGTCCTGGCCCTGGACGACTGCTCATCCTCAAGGAGTGCCAGTGCAGTCTGCTCTTCCAAACTGCTTTTGTGCATGGACAAATAGTTCCATTAAGGAGTTTATTTTGCTTATTGAAGCTTTCCTCTGCTCATTCAGCCTGGTCTAATGGGATCTACAGTCCCCATCAACCCCGATGATGTGCCAAAAGGTAAAAGAAATGAGAAACTAGAGATGTGACTTGACTTAAGGGGTGGAAAAGTCATTCTGCATTGCTGATGGTTCTTACGGCACAAGCAGCAGCACTTTCATGTATTGTACATATTTTCTTTATGATTTCCGGAAGAAAAGCCAAAACAAGGGACGTGTTAGCTTTCCTGTGAGTAACGTCTGCAAGGTTTCCCATGTGCTGAGATGGTGGTTGCTCCTCACCCCCAGCCTCGTCCTGCACGAGGCTGGCTTTGCCCGGGGCCGGGATGCAAGGGCCCTGCGGGAGCCCCTTTGAAAGCAGCAGGAGCCTCCATGCTGGCTCTGGCGGAATTCCCATGGGATTTAGCCCGCGATCGGTGCTGGGCCGGGAGCAGGGTGAAAGGTGAGCAGAACCACCCTGGTGAGGGCACACGCTGGCACAACCAGTTGCAAAAAACATAATTTTAGAAAATTAAAGCTTTATATATGCTTTCTTTTTTTTCCTGTTTCTTCTTCCCATCAGCCACAGTAACTGGCCTGAATTCCTGTCTTAAGTCCAAGCCACACACTGTCTCCAAGCCAG